ATGTAACAATGCCTCTGTAATTGAAGCACATATTCTTCAAAGTTATTGCTGAGAGCAAACACGAAGATCAAAGGTGAAAATGTTGTATAATGTATCTTTGCACATATTCAAGTGTCTTTCAGGAAACCTGGTGAGGCAAATCAACCATAGACACATACTGTAGCAACTAATTTGATCAATTTACTTCTGTTTGATGAAGCTCTAAACTACAGTTGTGTTGTTCCCTCTGCTAGAACAATAATGTCAGAAGTTCACATTCAGGAACTTATTCTGGGGGGCCTGGGTTATAACAGACCTGGTGGATATATGTAATAACAGGTAAAGAATTGCAGGTGGTATTTTTATGTAGAGGTTGATAGCTTGGCTGCTGTTCAGGTGACCTGATTTTGAGAACCCTTGAATTGGAAACTGGACTTGTGATGTTCTCTACCATAATTCAAGCTGCAATATAAGTAAGAACTTTTTTGCAAAGAAAAAAAAAAAAAGAAAAAAAAGAAAAAAAAAAGAAAAAAATTAAAGATTAAAAAGATTAAAGATTAAAAAAAACATGCTTACTGGTGTTATGCTGTTATTAACTTCGGCAACTCTCAAACACTGGCCAAATATAAAAATGATTCAGAGTCAAGTCCATTGCTTTTGACCTTGTAATAAATAAAAGCTTTCCAAAAACTAAGCTAGACTGAAATATTAAATCCCGGCTCCAAAAGCGAAAGACGACTCATAACAAAGCCATTCTATAAGCACAAATGTCCCTGAAATCCTTTGCTGAAAATACACAACATGAACAATTCTCTGGCTCATGACTGTGGAAAAAACTGTTCTTCATTTAAAATGTTTGTCATCAATGTAAACCCATCTTTAATTATAATTAATGTAAGGGGCTTTTATGTGCTGGAATAGCAATATGTTGCCAAGAGTTCAGCTTGGCACACATTCCTGAATCACAGTGGAGATTGATCTTAAAATGGAGCAAAGAATAATGTGTAAAACTATCAAAGACACAATGAGCTGAAGACAATACAGTAGCTATAACTTGAAATATTGACAGACAGGAAGTATCCTATGAGTGACTTTTAGGAAGACATATTTTTTTCCCCCCTCTTTTAGTTCCTGGTTTGTTTTTTTCTAAGTTTGGACAAAAGTCTTGATTAGACTTGTAGTTAATGCCATTCAATTTGTCAGGAAATGAAGCAGCAAAAGTTTCACCTCCATCTTATCTTAACCAGCTTACAGTGGTGAATTTGTACTCGCCAGGCTGCTCGACCAGCTGATAAAAGACACTGGCCAGCATTATAGTATGTCCTTAGAATTAAAATGCAGCTCACATTGAGGCTCAGGCACCAAAAATTATTTAAGATCCCCAGCTCAGCTATTGTCACTGTTTGCTTCTCTTTTCTCATCCCTGATAGCAGCTATGCACCTAGATTATTCCATGGCTGTGCTCACGGTTGGAGAGGAAGATAAAGAACTACTACTGTATAGCAAAGATTCACTCTGAAGTCCTTTCACCAGCAGTGACCAGTGAGGAACGTCTCCTCTCATTTTGCATGCAGTGCCGCTGTAATTGCTCAGCCATGGAGCTCTTCCCTTGGTCTGGGGCTGTGTCTGCTCACACTGAGTGCCAGTGTCTATCACTTGATGCTAAAATTCAGTAGCTTTGGCTTCAGCGAGGGTCCCTGCGGTTGGGCTGCAGCCTGCTTCATGACACTTGAAAATGTACCCTTTGCCATATTAGAGTCTCAGATCCTGATAATTGTACAAGGGAACTGTATATATCTAGGCAGTGTTGTAACTGCACTCTGGTTATCCAAGTCAGCTAGCACAGAAATGTAATCATGTTAGTCTTGATTTTGTATTTATATATATTTCACGGAGCAGAATAATTTATCTCACCAAACTTTATCTGTCTAAAAAGTGGGCAATTTACTTGAAGACATTCCTTTAACCTCTTTTATCCAGTCCAATTTTCATGGATTTCTACTGAAGATGGTATGAATGAGCTGCTTTTCTTTGCTCTTGGTATGAGGGAGGCACAAAGCACACAAATTAACCCCAAACTATTCTGCTTCAAGGAATTACTCTCATTTAAACAAATCCATCACATAAAGCTAAAAGACCTTAGAAAATACAGCATATTTCTTTATTATTCTTTGGGCACCAGGATACTCAGCAGAAGTATAAATTACCTATAAATTGTCTTCTCACTGCATTTGTACAGACTGAAAAAAACAGAGCTTCATAGAACATTCACAAAAATGATCCCCAATACAGAGAGTCAGATCTCTTTTCTAGTCAAAAACCTATTGAGTTCCAGCTGAAATGGTAGCTTCCTACCAATTATGAAAAATAAGTGTTGGACCTTAGAAAACAAAGTTTACTCTTGAATATAACAAATTTCCTAAGGCCATTTGCCGTCAGTAACTGACTTGAGAACAGAAATTTGATACTATCTTCCTTTTCCATTCAGGCATTTAATACTAAATGAACAAGCCTTCAAAAAATACAACAGGAAACATAAATTTCATTGATAATTATCTTGCCAAGCATTTTTATAAATATGAATAAATAAGGATGCATGTAACTAAGTACAAATAAACATAAGGTTTATGGGCCCTTCATATAAACTTGTAACATACATTTCCCACAGGATTTGCAGGATCACTTTTAAAATATTACAGAAGACGCAGAATAAAACTACAGTGCAAGTCACTTGACTTAAAACTTTACTATAAATTGATGTGAGCATCTTGAGAGCTTTCACTGGTCCCTAGTATGTGCTCAGCAGCTTGCAAGCACACTCCACAGGACTGGAATAACACAAACTCTATTAATGGTTGTGTAAATGTCTAGAAATGCAATTTCAAAAAGGGTTCCAGCTTTTTTGGTGAGATGACTACAACTGAAAAAAATTTCCAATACACAAGAACTTACTTGAATGGATGAGGCATTTCTGTAATTTGCCTTTTTACCTATAAGAAAGATATATGATATGAATTGCTGTTGACTAAACTTTTTTTCTGCAATGTTGTAAAATGGGAATTTACTATTAGCTGACTATATTGAGTCACAATATTGACTCTGCCACTCTTGATGACCCAAAGTCACAGCTCTTGACTATTCTATTGACAAAGATTTTTCTTTTAAAAAAATTTCTAAAATGACTTAGAAATTTGATGCAGTATTAGGGATAGTTCAGCAGGGATGTCTTGAAAAACTTTGGCAATTTTAGGCATCTAAATCTAGACATTCTGTAGTTTTCAACTCCAGAATTTCAATAAATGTGACCTCCTGATGTAGCTGTAGTGTTACATGACTCCCAGCTTGCCAGCAGTGACTGAGATAAATGGAAAAAATAACAAGTTAGTCCTATAGAGATTTTACAAATTCAGTTGTTGCAGAGAAATGAAACACAATACTGTGAGGACTGCTGCAGATAATAATCACCCTAAAATGAAGCTGAGAATAAAGATGTCTTCCTCATAGTCATTAACAGACCAAGCTGCCATGAGGCCTCTAGACCTTCACAGACCTCTCTATATGGTAACAATCGGACAACCACAGAATTTCAGAATTCAGAAAGAGCTTTCCAAGCATTTCACAATATCATTCCCAGGGAAATTTTGTGAATGGGCAAAAAAAAAAAAAAAAAGATCTATAGAATATGAACGCAAATGACAATTGTATTTTCAAAAAGAAAAATATAATGAATTAATTTTAACCTGTGTATGAGAGTACTGGTTTCATTAATATATGCACATATATCTTCACTTAAGTATTTTTTTATGTTATATGTTGATTCTAACAATGGCACATAACCAGCTTGGGGATATTATTTCCTAAAATATTCCACATGCTGAATGGTTTTTACACCTCTTGCCTACCCTTTCACAAACTGTTAAGTGATCCTTGAAGACTCTTTAGCCTGCTTATTTTTCTTAATCATCATTGCATCTGTGAGGATGTCATTTACCCAAAACTAATCCAAGATTTCATGGCACTTGAGTGATCATCCTTAAAAGAAAGACAAAAAGAGGTCTTCACTGCCTCTGAGTAGAATTGCAGCAGCTTTTGTCAGGCACAGAATGCCAACATGGACAGGAAGTAATTTAGCATTATGTCATAAGCCTGAAATTTTCTGTGTTCTCTTTTTTGAACTGCCTACTGATGAATCAAAGCATATGTCACAGTTTAAACTTTGGGGGGTTCTTTTTCTTCTTCTGTTTTTTTCCTCTGTGCAGCAATTATTCATAAATCATATTATGCTTGGAATTACATTTTCATCAATATCTTTCTTACTGTTTCTAATCTTACAGGAACACATTTAGCTATGGCAATTGACTCACTCCAAACAGGCATCTGTGAAAATAAGAACAACCGTATATAACAAAAAGAGACTAAGTGCATAAACGACTATGAAGCAAGCCTCATTTTGCCTATTCCATTTAATCTCTCATCAACAAATTTGTTGTGTCAAGGTTGTATAAATATGAAGCAAACCAGAATATAATCAAATCAAGCTAGGCTAAACCCTAGTAAGAGATTGCAGTGAACAAAAGTTTATCTACCACAACCACTGACCTGCTGCTCCAAGAACTTGTGATGTAAATGAGCATAAAAACCACGAAGTCACCCAAGGATGTTCACCATTCTCTATAACAACTGCTGAACAAGCTTGGTACTTCTTGAAAATAACTGATGCAGATGTTAGGCAAAAATCAATTCAACATTATTTTGACGATAAACACACCCTTCCTGTTGCTTCAGTTGAAGTTCCAAGATTATTCTTTTGAATAGAAAAATGCCAACATTTCCTGCTTTTCTTTCATTCAGAGTTGTCTTTCATAGTAACAAAAACCACAATGAGGGCAGAGGCAACTTTCTCCTCTATTCTGGCCATTCAGTTAGTAGCAAAAGATAAGTATTATGATAAGGAAGGAAAGCTCCTAATGGGCCTTGGAAAATTCTGTTTCACTGGCAAGGAATTTCTTTTCTCAGCCTACCTTCTCTTGATTCTGGCAGAGTAGACAATCACATTCAAAGCAATACTGGCGCACCAGTTGCTTTTGACGTTCCCTGGTAGGCATCAGTGATTCAACATAGCTGATGGTGAGCTGTATGCAGCACATTAAAAAAAAAAAAAAAGAAAAAAAAAAAGAGTTGGCATATTTTACAAAAAATCCATATTAGCATATATATGTATTAGCAGAGGCAACACTTTTCTGACACAACATTTTCCCCAGGATAAAATAAAATGCTAACAGATTATTTTCTAGAAGAAACTGACTACTGCTACAGAAGGTGAAAAAAAGAGAAAATAATTTCTATGGAAGAACACCTTTTCACATTTCAAGATCAATATTGTTTAAAATTATTAATTCTACCCAAAATTATCACTATTTCAACTTTTAATCCTAATTTGGAAGAAAAATAAAAGAAGGGGAGTAAGAAAAGATAGCAAAGAAACTCTGCATAAAGTATCTGAATTCCTTGTGCATGAAATCTCATTTTCTGTCTAGCTCCAGAGCTTAAGTGTGTATTTACCACTACTGTTATACACTATCCAACTATCTCCAAAATTTTTTTCTCAGGGAAGTCTCTACTTTCTTGCAAATATATGTTTTAGCCTGAGGATAATTCGTCTTACGCCACAGCCATTTTCAGTACGTCTGTGATGTTTCCCTTGTGACCAAGGAAGCACAAAAGCATTGCAGTCTAACTTGTTAAAACTATTGACAAGAAGATTTAGTGAAATTATAAAAGAAAATGTGTGCCTATATTTGTGCCATTTTCAAGTTCTTACACTGTACAGCGTGAATTCCAATGAACTACAGAGAAGTCTGTAGTTTGTTCACTTTGATGCCTGCCAGAAAGAATTTTACAGGACTAACCATTCTTAGAGTTCTTGAAATGTTTTAAGTGCTGCACAGGCACAAATTAATGATAAGAAAAAGAACATAACAAAAAAACAGCTCAGTTCAGACCAGCTACAGTCACACATGCTATTAAGTGATTACATTATACGCCCAACACACTTTGAAACACTCCAGAGAGGTCAGAGCTGAAAAAAATCAGGTCACATTATTTCATCCTGAGCCTAGACACTTCAACTAATTGGGAGAATTTTCACATGGTTTTCAGTTAAATCATGAGAGTCCATTCAAAGAAATTACAGAAAGGAAAACCTGACCAATTTTAGTAATGACCATGAAATACATTGTAAGAACTTGCATTTTGCAAATTAGTGAGCATTCTAATTGAATGAGCAATTAATAAACAACTAAAACAATTTCATTTTTTTCATTTATTATTACAGTGTATTTTGATTACATATTGAAGGAGGACTATGTTAAAAGAAGTCTGCTGAGATAGCAAATTCAAGCATTTAAAATAAATATGGCCTCATAGTTGAAGCTTAATTGTATAATTAATGAGACAAATTAAAATTCTACAATTAATCATAAGCTAGAAAGTGTGAGAACTTTGTTAGGTTTAGAAATCTATAGAATGTTATTCTGTCCCAGCTTGTGCATGTCTGAGCCAAGAGAGGATTAGTTTCACCACTACAGGCTTACAGCAGAACAGTCTGTACTAATATTTTACATGGGAGCCATAGGCTTCCCTCTGGTCTTTCTACAGTGAATGAATGGAAATTGTCCTGCTTATTTATTCACCATCCTTTTCTTCCAAGCTTTGTCTCTTCTGCCCCATTATCTCCAATATCCCTCTTATTCTTTCTCTTCTCTTCCCCTCAATGTGAGTATAATTTTCCTGTCTTATTTTCAACATCTGATTATCTAAACCTGTTTTCTAGCCATAAATTCTATCTCCTTACATAGCCACGTTTGGTACAAAGGGATGATTTCATCCCTGTCTCAGAACAGTCTCAGATCTGTCCTTCAGCCTTATCTTACACCTTTCCCCACTGTGTTCACTTGCTTTCCCCAGTCAACAGTCCTTATTGCCCTACTCTGATTTCTCAAACATCTTCAGTGACACCAGCTTTATCCTCACTTCTTTCCACAGCTGGTCCTAATCTGCCCCCTCCTTGCTGCAGTAAGAAAGATCTGTCTCCCTTCCTTCCCACAAAGCATTTTCCATCCAAACTGCAGTCCTAACCTCATCCTTCAGACATTCTAAATCAAATTTCCCTCTCTCATTAAAAGTCTCCTGATCTTCATGTCTCCTTGCAACTCACAAGTGTTTTCTGTCAAAGTCAATCCATACACTGGCTGTCCCCTGTCTCTTGTCCTCTGCATAAACATCTCTGGTTTTGACTCTTGTCCTGCTGGGCTTTAGGTTCAAGTGGCATCCAACAGTAAAAAGTATTTAATCAAGTTCAGACACAGTGCAAGACAGTAGAAATCTTCTGGGAAAAATAATTCACGCCCTGTCCTTACTGTTGAAATCATCATTAGGCAGGGTTCAGTTCTAATACTGCAAAACAAACACATAGAGCCAACACTGAATATACCTTACCTATCTAGCCTACAGGCTTCATCCCTTTCTCTCTTTATATTTATAGCTTTTTCCCCCCTTTTTTCATTTATGTTGCAAAAATCTTGGGGGTAGGAAGAAGTTTCAAAAAAATACATTTCTTTTCCAGAGGTTACCATAAACATAACAACATGCTCTGGATTAAAATATATGACTGCTCAGAGGAGGAGAAGAGGCTCCATCACGCTGATCTTTCCTTCTAGCATTTTAACAACTTGGGGTCTCTCTCGCCCAAGTTCAAATTCCCAGCCATGCCAGCAGAAATCTCTGAGTGAAAAAATGTGTGTAGCTGGCAGACTGAGTGGCAAAATATAATTAGAATATTTAGAAACATGATCAACCTAACAGTGACTGAGCCTATACTTATAATTTAATTCTTTAAACACAAATTTTCAGGTCTCTCTCCTAGCCTTGCTTTAATTTTGGATCACTTCATTAGATGCAAGGCTCATTTAACTTGTACATATTTGGGAAATATGCCCATTTATCATAGGTTGTCTTAATGGTATTTGCATGTGGGATGTATGCTACTAATTAAAACATTACTTAACTGACCAAAGCTTGCTTCTTTATTGCATTGTTTATAAAGAATGCAGTAAATCTTTTCCCCCTGAACTGGAGAATACATATTAAAAAATATATTGCCTTTATGAAAGCAAAGCAAGGAATTATTTAACAGACTTATTGACTCTTAAGACTTTCTCCTTAGAAATACATCACTGTCGGAGCCCTCCTTTTTCATCTGACACAGAAATTCTTTAATCATGGATATGGTGGTTAGTTTCTCATGTTCCTCCATCTGCTAACTGAGGTAGACACAATTTTCCATTCCTGCCACGATGCAGTGGACTTAATTTATGTGGGGTTTTGTTGTCCTGGGTTTATTTTGTGTTTGGTTTTTAGGGTTTTTTCTGGTAATAGAATATAAGCCACAAAATTTATAGAAAGAAATTCTGTAAAAATTTAAAATCAACTACTTCAATGCAAATGGCAGGGAGAAAAAAGGGAATCTTCTTGGTTTTGCAATCATGGGTCTCAGAATCTTAGGGAGGGCTGTGTACAGAAATCTGTTCCTGAGACAGAGTTATAGAAGTGTGTAACACTCTGCACTCTTTCTGTTATGGATTATAAGATCAAAATGCCTTCTAATTCAAGGAAAAATTTGTTTCTGAAAACTTTAATGGGACAAAATATAATGTGTGAAGCACACACAGATACAAAACTTCTCACAGAATGACAGTAACAGAAACATTATATAACTTGGTTGAAATTTATCATGAAAATAGATTTATTTGCTCATCATCTGAAATCATTATTTGTTTTCAGTATCAATTAAAAAAAAAATTGTTGCTCTGTAAGGTACAGTCAGTTATGTGATATTCTGAAGAAAGATAAAAATTTGCTCTAACTGAGCTCTGAAGCTGGTGAGAAGCAAAGCATCCATTTTGGAGCAGAACTGCACCTCAGCTCATCCATTCTGTCTCCCAGCAAGACTGATTTGAATCCATACAACTTCTGATTGGAGAGGAGGCGAAATCATCTTATGCCTGCCTGCAAAACACCAGGTAGAATCAGCAACTAACAAAAAGTCAATTGAAATTATAGCGCACATCTTGATGCTGTTTGAAGTGGTTACTTAAGGGTAGGGGAATGATGAAGATCTCTTCAGCGTAGACTGCTCGTCTTTTTAACAAAACTAGCTGATAGGCTACCTTATCAGTAAAGGAGCCCTTGTGATCTCTAGACAAATTATTTTTGCTTTTTTATAATCCTTCCCCATATCTAACCTTTCTTTGCAACACTTACATTTCATTTTTGCAAGGAACTCCAAGTAAAGGAAATCTTTGTATGCTGTCAAATTAACATCGCCTAAAGTTACCAGGACTGTAATGGTCAGCATTGCAGAGAAGCTGTGGAGGCTCCATCCCTAGTAGAGTTCAGGGCTGGATTGGATGGAGCTCTGAGCAACCTGGTCTAGTGAAAGGTCCCTCTGACCACAGCAGAGGATAAGATGATCTCTGAGGTCTCTTCCATCTCTAAACATTCTGTAATTCTGTAATTATGTTGAACGACAAAAAGTTGTTATAATTAGTTCTGAGATATTGGAAGCGAAGTTCAGAATGCTGAGATGACCACAACAGCCAGTCATCTCAGCTCCCCATGTCTCTCTGTTACCTTATAATTCCCTGCAAGTTGCTGTGGTCAACCACTCCTTAGCATGAGTAAACTGCTGTAGTGTACTTCGACAGAAAGTGCTACAAATCTGCAAAAATATGTTCCTGTATGGATGGAAAAGCCATAGTCCTCTTCTACCAATGTCAGCTTACTGTGCTACTTAATTTCTTATTTCTGATAGATCTTAGTGCTTCTTTTCTATCAATTATTAACTAGAGGGTCTCATTCTGTCTGCATCTAGTGTAAGTTTGAACAGGAAATGAAAATTTCTAGTGATTGTAATTTTCTTGTTGCCTCATGACTTGAAATAATGATCATCTTACCATCTCAGAGCACCCAATTTATTCAGAAAACCCAATCAGTCTCCTCCCTAACATGTATCTACTCTCCCATTAACTCAAATCATGACACCATAATAGAAGTTAAAACTCAGCTCACAATAGATGATACAGTTTCATGTACATTTGTTTTTAAATTCAATACCTGGCTATCACTAAAACATAGCTCACCCTGCTGCACGGAAGCAGTAAGGCAGTGTGGAAAGTTGCACCAAAGTCATCATGCAGAACACAAAATGAAAAGTTGGTAGAAGCTGTGTATAAGGAAAAGTAAATAAGTATTGACAATAATATTGAGCTGCTGACTTGTACATGCCTTCACAAAAATTTCAGTTCCCTTCCTCTACCCACAACAGATCTAACCTAATACCGGCTTTGTAGCTTTACTTTGTCTCTTAAGCCTAAGGCACTTTTTCTTCCAGATAAGACATTAATATCTACAATATTTTTAGATAAGCAACCCATCTTAGTGAACTGGGAAGCCAATAGGAAAGTTATGGATTTTGGATAAAAGAAAAGTAAGGTGTCTATTTGATGGCCCAAAAAAATTTCTTACCATTTACTTACTTTGATGCCCTACTATATTTGAGAAAGAATACATTAAAAAAGAAGAAACTTCATAGGGAAGTAAAAAAATACTGTGTCTAAATAAAAATATCTATGGTTTTCATATTCACAGAGTTTAAAGAAGAGGTGTGAACTATATTTATATTAGGTTATGATTTTGAAATGACCAACAGCAAGGACTGTGTAGGTCATTGGTGCATCTGAAGTTACATATATGTACACATTTCTTTTCAGCTCTTACTAAGCAAATTCAGTACTGCATTGCTGAAAAACACATTTATTTTGATTTCTAGCCACAAATACTTATTTTCAAATTAATACGAGTGCTCTTGTAAAAATAAAGTAGAGAATACCTTAGATAAAATCAGAAATCTCTTGAAAAGGATATTTTGAAGTCTTTCCTAGTGAAATGGACAACACAAACCTTGTTTTGCTGCTCTCACTGTCAATGAAAGGTTTACTACATAAGCATGATTGCTGCCTGACAAATGTAATTGTTGCAATGACTTGGGGAACACTGCATTCCACTCAGAAATATTGTAAGTGTTCCCGTCAGGGTAAAGACACTCAAATACAAACAAAATGAAGTGCCTAGAGGAGGAAAGGAGGAACAGGAATTTATCAAGACTGCTAGTGATTTATGAGAAGTAATGATTATGGGGCTCAGGCAGTGTGAAGAGATGATTCTATTTATCATTTTTCCCCTGATAGCTATGTGCTACAAAGTGGCATCAATATATCATCAAAATATTAAGCTGGTGGCCCAGCAGTCTGGAATTTATTTAGGGAGATGTCATTGTTGCAGGTGTCTGTGATGGAAGGGAGGACATGTTAATTACCTCTTCACCAATCTGGATCTCTCGGACAGAGTGAAGTAAAAGCTGGTATCCTTCAAAAACGATCACGCAGTTTGGGTCACAGCTGTGGTTCAGTAAAGACATGCTGTGAGGGGTGGTAGAGGGGGAAAGAAAGAAAAAAAACTTAACAGAGGAGTCTCCACAGCCATTTCCCTTTAATCATTTGAAAGTAGCTAACATGATTACATCTGAAGTATCAAGCAATTAAGTCACGAAACAAATAAATTCCCTGTTAAATCAGCTGCTCTTGGTTAGGGGAGGAAAATTAATGCTTAGAAGATTTATATTCATTGGTAATAGGAGTCAGGATCACTTCATGTGTTTCTGCCTTTTGTGTATTCAGGGCAGGAGGATAGCAATGCCCACCCAGTGCCTCTCTGAGAGTCCTGATTCTGGGGACAGGGCAAGTGGGGAACAAGGTAACCTGGACAGTTCAGAGCAGGAGGGACTGGGTTATATTTCTGCTGCTCCTGCTCAGTTTCAGGGCACTAACCTAATCGATTACCTCACTGTCATTGAAAGCACAGCTCAAAGGGGCCAACAATCAACCTGTATTTTATATCAGGAGAAAATACTATGTCCCACAGCCAAAGAAGTCAGTGTATGGAGCTGAAAGAAGAAACCTGGCCATTGCCTCTGTTTTATGCCTATTTCAGCCCAGTCTCTGTTCTTGTGGCATGTGACAGCTGAAGCTCACTAGGGAGCTGCTAGCACCCTCAAGAGACACAAACACGGCACCAACATACCCTTCCCTCTCTCTGAAGGAGGCTGCTAACAACATTTGCTCTATACTGTTGAATCACGAGTTTCCTTAGCTGAGAAACAACTAACTCTGCCAGGAAAACATTTCTGCCGTAGAAGAAATGGGGTTGATGGTTCTTTCCTTTCCCTGTGGGAATGATCCATTGAAAGAATAATTCTAGCATTATCAGCCTGGAAGAAGAATTTTTGGCTTATGCGGCTCCTGGCTGCCTTTATATTCTGTCCTTGTCCTTGTCTGATTCAGCAACTCAAAATCCCAACTGCTGCTGGTAAAATAGAGGATGTTGCTGAGATTCAGAGCCCTGCACCAAATCATGTTTATTTAGTTTTTTGTCTCTTAAAGGAGGTAACAACAGAGGCCTGACTCTTTTGGTATCCCTTCTGGCCTAATAAAATATCTGTGGTTAATCTCCTCAAGAACTCACTGGGAGAATATCCATTACACTTATTGTGAGATCACTGGGCACACTCTCAAAGCTGCTGCAATGTGACGCACAGCAAGACCACAGGATTTTACCTATTTTTAAATATATTGTGATGCTGAAGTTATCAAGCCATACAGCAATATACAATCCCTTAATAAGGCTTAATACAGAACTTTTAATTAAATCTCATCTCAAGGAGGAACTAGTGGGTTTGATGACAATTTCCTCTGGAAGCACATGAATTCATCTGGAAGGACATTTGCCCAGGACTTACAAACCACAGATTTAAAGTTCTTAATTTTCCCAGCTTTTTTGCTGCAACAAAATGCAAACTGCTCTGAAGTGACCTGGGAAAGAATCTCTTGCATCCCTTGGCAGTGCATTATCATTGAACACAGATGGATACTTAAGGGCTTTTTTTCAACCAAAAGAAAATATTTCCCTAATAATGATGCTCCAAAATAATATTTCATTTTTCTCAAGTATTGTCTTCATTCCTTTATAAAATCAAATTACTGTTTTGCACTTTTCATGACACTAATTCTCATGTCCTCCTAAGCACCTTTTCCTCATCTTTACTACAAGGCAGACCTCAATATATTAAGTGTCCTCAGTCAAATCTTATGACATTAGAAAGAGAAGAAACAACAGTGACAAGCCCACTGAGGTACTGACAAACATAATCCAACCATGTATTAACAAAAAATTAGATGGTAAAACATACTTTTAAACTACATACTAATTTTCCATGTCTGTGATTACAGGTTAATAATTCTATGAAGACAAAACCTTCGTAGGTACATACTTCTTACCTAATACAAATGAGAAACAATAATAAGAAATCCAAATGTTAACATCCATCTCTTATCTTTTCACCTTACTGGTTTCTTTGTTATGGTATTTTATTTATAAATATACCCATCTTTTTCATTCAGAAAATTACTAATTCTGAAGGTTCTCAGCTGCAAAATATCTATATTCTAAAGCATCACTGAACAGGTTTCCTTTAACTAGTCCCAGTTGCAGATTCTTGACATCAGTATTTATTCTTACTTAGAAAAGACCACCTCCATAAAAATAAAATAGAAAGATGTATACTATCTAAACTTTTTAAATGCTGTAATCAGGACTACTAAGAATGTTTTCAACTAGATCATATTTTTTTACTCTCCTTTAATTTATTTCCATTTCCCAGTTTCTCATTTAGACATGTTACCTGCTGCTTTGATGGTCCTTACAGCTACCTTGGAAAAAAGGAGAGAAAACTGGCAGAGATTTTGCCTGTGAATGAAACAGTGTCCACAGTACCTGGGATACAGGCCAACACCAACATCCTGCATCTCTTCATTACTGATGGTGAAACAGTTACAGGTCACCTGTAAAAACAAAGGGAAAAGTCCAGGATTACCAGAATCATTTGGAAACCCCATACTCAAGTGAAAAAAAACCTTCCAAAATAAAACGAAGGGGCAAATGGTAATTAGATGGGAAACATTCAAGCCCAACACTGGTGCTCTTTCATTTTAGAGTCATCACATCTGGGTCACACTCTCCTGTAAAACTGCTGTCAATTAAAAGCACAAATATTAGCATCCTGAAAAAACATGGGGTTAAACACATGCAGGGGCCCTACTTTCCTGTCCAGAGAAGAAAAAAAAACCTACACAGAGCCTGAGAAGTTCAGCCCAGAAACAACCCAACAGATGATAATGACTACTGATAGAAAGAGTGGCTGTTTCTCCATGTGGGGACTGCTGATGCCAGGCTGCCACAGCATCTTTTAATGAGTAGCAGTGGAACCCAAATAATATATATGGGGCTGTTTTGAAGTAAATAGCAGCCTCATTTGTGGCAACAAGAAACAAATAATATTTTGTGGATACAAAAACAAATAAATCAAAGACTGTGCAATAATGTATCTTTCACATTATGGGTATTTTGGTTTGCATGTAGAAGGTCTGACAACAAAGCATGTTCAAATTACCATCCAAGAGAAATACAATATTCTCTTTAATTTCAAATATTCAGATTATAAATGTATTCTTCCTGCATACAATCATACAAAATTAAAGTGGTTTTAGAAAAGATGGGGAAGAATGGAGGATTCCTGTAAACAGATTTAGTCCTACCCCAAACTATCAGACTGAGGTTTTTTTGTGTTCAAGGTATAACAGCACTTAATAAATGATTAACAAGTACAACTTTCATGTGCTAAAATGAAAAAACCAGAACTCAATTGTGAATGTATATTTTAAGTATTTGATTTTTGGGGAAGAGCTGGTTTTGGGGTTTTTTTTAACATTTATTTTTTAGATATGTTGGGTCACTTACCAATGATGTATTAATACCTTTAGAAAAATATTGCATGATACTGCATATACAAGAAAAGTCCCAGGTCTCTTCTGCATAGCCTTAGATTATTAATATCATTAATTCTCATTAGAACAGAAAACAAATTAAAAGTAGGATTTGGCAGACATGGAAATGAGATTTGAAAGTTGCAGTTTTATCCACAGAGTAATTGTCCAGAACAATAAATGCACGCCTATGTTTTAAAGAGGTATGCTGAACAATTTAATAGTATAACTTATCCTATAAATTGACAAATTATTATTTATGAGAGCATTAACCATAAGGTGAAAATGAAATCCTCTTTCAAAATTTCTCATAAATTCTGACAGCAACATTAATTTAAATAAATGGACATGCAGTAGGGCATGTGTTTTTGTAAACCGTTAAACAATACTTTGATTAGTCTATTATTTATGTAACCCATTCAAATATTCCCTATCAATTACCAAAATCATATGTCTTAATTATTTCTTTCCTGCTGACATTGGGTATAAAGTGTCAGACAACTTCTGAGCAAAGATTAGTCCATTTCAAGTGGCAATTATCCTGGTTCTAAAAATATTGACTTGATTTTGGTATTTATTGAAAAAATAATGCCTTCCAGGTAAAATAGAAAGAAAGCCAGCTTTTGTGAGCCTTAGCTCTCTCTAACAGATCATAAAGTAGCAGAGGTCAAGCATCTATTACAAACAAATTAACTCCTCTTTCTTGCAAATCTCTTATTATTACCATAACATATTTATATTAATAATGTTGGATTTAGACATAGTAGAGCTACAGAGACTGTTTCATCATTTTCTATTAAAGTTATGTATTACATTATGTGAAAAGTTTTACACACAGAAGTCACAATCGTTCTACTTCTTCCTTTTTGAAACATGCATCAGTTTTTTATAGCAGGATACAAGCAAAGAAAAATTTGTAATGAATGAATATGCTGAGATTCAGACATGAAGAGCTGTTTTTAATAGTAGTTCACTATGAGACACTTTTTAACCTCTCAGATATTTTTACAGTATATGGGTGCATCTCAATATCCAGTGAGGTAGTGAAATGCCATCTAGTTTCCAATTATTTATAGTTTCAAATTTATTATTGGGAATCCAAGGTATGCAGGGCCAAATCTAAAAAGGTATTTAATACACAAGTTAGGCAGAAGCGTAACTGGTCCCATGAATTCTGAGCGATATGATTCAGTGCACAATCCTGCCAGAGGTATAGGAGGTGTCAGGTGCTCTGAGGCTTGTTTAACCTCCAAGAAGACAATCCTTCCCCCCTTCTAAATTCAGGAATGGAAGAAACCAACAGTGATACACATATAATGTGTACCACAGACAGTAACCTTAGTCATGGCTGCTTTCTGTGCTCGGCAAGTGGAGATAGAGGAAGATCTCACCATTTACAGTGTGAGAAATTCGATGTAATGACAATCCTTCACAGACAGTTAGCAGCCTACAATGATATAAAATATGAAGTATTCATACTCTGTCACTATATGGTTTGGTTTTTGGTCTCTTAGATTTGTTACAAAGTTTCTAAAAATCTACTGAATCACCTCTACATTTCTATTTACATAAACTTTTAGGATCTTTTAAGTCTGAGTTAAAGATCTGTTTTATCAAGGGGAGTTATGAGATTTCAAAACAAGTGTTGGTGTTGTAGACCACAACTCCCAAGGAACAAAATAAAGATGGCTTTTTTTTTTAAGAGAACACCCAAAGAAAAATCAGTTTTCCTAGCTCCCCAAAATTCACAGATGTAGCTCAAATAACAACCAAATCTGCAATATTTCTGCAGGAGAGGATGGGCATGTTGCTTATTCCTGAGGCAATGGTTTACAGATCAAAGCCTACTGGGACTGGAAGCTAACAAACTCCTTTTCTAGGGGGAAAAAAAACCCAAACACATAAAACCAAGGCAAACCAAATATTTTCTCATGTATCACAGCATTTCTTTCAAGTTGCATGGTTGTCTTCCACAGAGTGTTTCAATAATGGCGTTCTTCCATACAAATGTATGCCCCTTGTCATCTTAACTCCTACAGAATCATTTATCTCGGTAATTTAATTTGTGCTTGTTCCTTCTGAATCCTTTGAAAATTCTTCTCTATCCAGCTACAAAGCACTATGAGAGCATATCCACATCTAGAAGCAGAAGCAAGTACTCACAGAGTTTGTTATACCCACAAATAAAGAAAAATGCCACATATTTCAGAACTTCAAAGTGGAAAGACAAATCCCTTTTGCTATTTCTAAAATTTCTGAAAAAACACATATCCCAGCATGAGAACCAAGGGGAAATTCTCAGGGGGGAGTCACAAACTTTTCAAGCTTTCAAAATGCAAAACTTTGAAAAATTCTAGAACTGTCAAGGTTTATCATCATAGCCTGTTAGGCCACTGAGCTCTAGTCTATAAACTGACAGTTTATAGAATCACTTCAGAGTGTTTGAGTTGGCTCCATGGCAATAAATCCTGCAAGTTTGTTTAAAAGGAGCTGGTATTTGAAACAACCAACAACATTATACAAACTGACTGAATTAAATAAAAAGATTTATTCTTTTGAGGCTGCACATATATTACAGAAGTACCCTGAACCTAATAACGTAGCACAAGTAGAAGACATAATCTCTCCTAGACTGGTAAACACACAATAGGTAAACCAACTTTATTGACTGGCCAATACTCTCAGGCATACCTTATCACCAAACAAAAATTTTTGCAACCTGTTAAATTTGATTTTCTCTCTGAATGACTAATGAAAACTCTGTAAATTTACCCTATAAAGAGGTCACTGTTCTCAAGATGTCCAAAGCTACTGTCTGAGCAATCTCACTCAGTGCCAGACTCAGTCTAGAGGACAGTCATGATTTATTTCAGCGCTTGCACTTGACAGAGTATGGAGGCTTCAGTTTTGCAACATAACGAGTTGAATTTGCTCTCAGTTCAAACCTCATTCCTACAGCTTTATACTGAGGATTTGCCTTTGGGTTAAACAAAGCAGAGTTAGACTTGATGGCAGGACATTCCAGATTTGGAATTTCAGACACTCGGACAATGAAACACATCAATAAGGGTGTAAGGGAAAGAAAACAAATCACTATTGGCTAACACTTGCTGCACTGATCAAATTAAAAACACCAGGGCTAATAATCAATCATTTTGTCTCCATGTGTTCCTGTTACTGCAACACAGTGAGGCAGCTCTTGTAACACATGTAAGAAACCCTCACAAGGACTTCCAAAGGGTATATTGCACTGATAGGGTCAATATAATTTTCGGCTCTGATCTACAATGATTCCAGCCATCTCTGTAAATGGTGTGTTACAGCTGGTGTATTCTAATCCACCACCAGGAAGAAAGCCATAACAAACCTCTTTCCCCCCTAATTTATGAACCCAATGTAACATAAATTAAAAATATCTATTTAAAAAAGCCCTTTCATGGATTATTAAGTTTCTCATTCGCACCAAAGCTGCCTGGGTATCACTTGTCAGGGCCAACTATTTAACAAAAAATACTGCAATGAGTTTTCATGTTAATTGGCTTCTCAAGAGACTCACACATTTTTCCAGGAGGAAGGGGTGAGCAGTAAATGCTATGTGAGGGGCACCTTACCTCAAATGACCAAGGCATACCCCAGAGACCTAGAACCACCATATCCCACTACAGTTCTGCACTGACAGCTCTTTCTTATTTGAGGATGAACAGATAACAGGCACAGATGGCTGACAGATCTCAAATCTGCTAATGACTTCATTTGGCACACAGAGCACTAGAGCAACAGTGCTAAACTGTAATGCACAGTATGCCACAGCAGTGACAGACATGTCAAGCCCCTCGTTTGAGTGTGCTTCACTCAACTGCTTGTGCCCACAGCCCAGGACATCCAGACTTTCTACTCAGACAGAGCTCTGAAATCTCAGTTCTGTCCATGGTGGGAAGGCATCTTTTACCTGAACACTGCACTGAAAGGATCCCTGTAACGAGACACATTTGAAAACTAGACCTTTGTGCCTTATATATACATGCTTACATGTTTTTACTATATCAGGAATTTAGAATGCAATTCTACATTGC